TGCCGCCCCCACTAAGAGCATGACATAATTCAACATCAAAAGCTGGCTAGACGGCAACCTCGCTACCCCCAAAACCATCGTGCCTGCCGGTCCGTTGGTTTGGACAAACTTCACCGACTTTCACCCCTTTGGGGAAACGCGCCAGGTGTTCAGGAAACAAGGACAAGCCTAAACGACACCTCCAAAGGCCGCCGCGGCCACTGGAAAACGAGAGGGGCTGACTCCAAAAAGTGCCGACAAAATGCGAATATGGCGAAAGGTTCACAATGACTTGCAGCAAAGTCCACAAGCAAATGCTTGCCTACAGTAGATGTGCCAGCTCCTGAAATGTTTCCTGAAATTCTGAAAGATGCTTTCGATTAGAGTTTTTTATCAAAGAGGATTGCTATATGCAGTATAGCACAGTATAATCCCAAGATACGTTAGGCAGGACAGGATGCCGGCTTTTGAACGAGCTTTTTTACGACCGCCTTTCAGAGCTACAGTGGATAAAATGCTTACATACGTATGCATTTTCCACGCCGATTTTTAAAGCCTTTATGAATTCAAATATAGTTCGGAAAAAATGCATAATTCTTCCTTGTACCCAGTTGATAAGAAATTATGTCTTCATCAATTTTAAAGTTCGTAATCTCTAGATTCCTTAAGACCGTAAAATATCTATTCACATTCCATTTATTCATGCTGCTTGTAAACTATGCTATGTGGTCAGTATTCATCACACAATTTCAAAAACCCTATATTAAGTTTTCTTAATGACATTTATAAGTGTAGGATCTCTCTATAAAAGAAAACACCCAGCTTCTGGTTTGGAGACATTACGCGCATGTGCTGCAACAGATGAGATTCAAATTTCTACTGAAGATACACTTTCTTCAGATATAACACCGGAGAAAGACGCAAGTTACTAGTAAATAACTCAAATAAAGAGTATTTGTGTATATTTTTTTCTAAAAAGATAGTTGATTTTACAAGGGCATTGAAAAACAATGACAAAAATAAATACGAATTAAATAGTTATTTTTAACAGACTACTTCTTGTACTTGTTGCGGCTGCGATCATGACTGATCTGACTGAC